AGCTTCTACATTGTGCTGGCAACCAAAAGGAGTCTGAGCATCGATTTTCTTGCTGTAAAGGTCTCTGTTGAGAGTCATCTGGTCTTCAAGAAACAAACACGTAGGCTAAGTCCAGTAGTTGCATGAGGAATGTTCCCTGGTAGCAAAATGTCAAGACAATGACCTGTAGCAGGCCTACCAGAATGCAACACATCCTGATGCAGCTTGTGTTTATGAACCTGTACGACGCGCATGTTAAAATTCTGGACAAAGTGTGTGGTCAGTCCACTACCTTGACCTGTCACAAGGACATCGGCATTCGTCTTCACTTTCTGAAGTGCTTTCTCGGCCAAGTCTTGTTTGAACTGTTTAACAAAAACATGTGGTCCGATAATGCCACCAACTGCGAGTATTTCCGGACTTCTTTATTTTTATCTCATGCAGGTCGTTTGCATGATTTGGCGTGAATACACTTTCGCGGAATTTGTGCACAGGCCTATCTGCGTTCCCAACACGAACACTTGAACACAAGTCGTCATGAAGAAGAAATAGGCTTACATTAACATTGTGTTTCTTCAATCCTGTCTTGACCACTTCATTCAACTGTTGACTTCAGTAGACACGAACAGACGATCGGTATGAACATCATTCCATTCAAGAACTCGTTTTTGTAACTTGGTCTCACCATATCCCACCCTAAATAACGTCTGCATCTGATACATCGTCAACTAATAAATGGGCAAACCGATGTTGTAATGTTGGTAACCCTGTAGGTCTCATCAGCTGTGCTCTGATTTACAATATTACTCCGTAAGAGGTGAGACGAACAGGGTTTAATTATTGTGTGGACCGCATCCTTTTTGTCTTCTAAGAGTCTACAGTGTCTAGACGATGCTGGATCAGCCAGAGAACCATAAATTACGTGCTTTACCACCCTTAATTGCTGGTTTCAGAACTCTGCTAGATAGAAAAGACCCCCGTCCCACCTCGACTGCCAACCCCCAGCCATTAGTACGCAAGCTCTGACTCAGTACAAGTGCACCGAATACCCTCCCACCTCTCTCACACCGCCTCTGAAACCATGGAACTATACAACAGGGGTAACCCCTCCACTATAGCCCCTCCTCTATCCTAGTCGATCTAATTTCATGTTAACATCACCTCCCGCCGCTAGTTTATAAATGCACAACAAATTATAGACATACCTCCTGCATTCCCACCTCATTATTTTGTTCAACCTTCCCTTCCAGCCAGCAGAACCTTATCCTTCCATGAACCATGTTATTTGTAAAATACGCTGTTTCTTAACTCCTGGAAATCTGTCACCGGTAGATCCTTGGTTCAAATCTCGGCCCGCAGACCGGTTATCCCAACTGAGTTTTCCTTCGTCCTTCCAGGCAAATGCCAAGTTAGTACCTTTAATTAGGCCACGACCGCTTCTTTCTTTAATCATTCGAGTCTATTTATTCTGAGTAGTGACAGATTCGATAAATAAACCACAAATGAAATTTAATGACTGATTCATGGGTCGTTTAACGTGATGTTGAAACACAGATACAGCTTGCTGCAGGATCAACGGTCCTGCAATGAGTTTGTGCGGCCCGCGTACACCTTTGTAATACTATCATTCAGTACGACGTTTAATAGTTACCTGGTGTCAGAAAAAACACACTGGTAACCATTCACTTTCTACACTTCTATCCACAGTGTGTATAGTCTGTGGGCTTCGTACCAGTCTCAGCACAAACATAGATTATTTCTTTCAAAAACACTAACCAACTCTTCTTAGAAATAGAGATGTATTGTGAAGATTTCTGTCTTCTGGGTTGTTGCGCTGTGTAGTCTGGTTGATGTTTACCAACGTTTCAGAGGTCATACCGCCTCCATCATCAGGGCGATGAATCGAAAAAATAGAAGCCGCAGTAAGAAAATATCATAATATACTGTCTGAATACATAAATTATCGTCATAAATTTCTTATTTCATCAGATACAGAATGGAGGGCAACAAAAAGAAAAGACTTTTCAAACTCTTAATTTATGTTTCGTTTGTTCGTGGTATTTATTAACCTTCATGGACCATTACCGCCATCAACTCGCGATCTTGTTCTGATGACCTGCGTGCCGTCTCGGGACTCTCGCTTCGGCATTCGCGTCTGTTTATCTTCTTCTTCTTCTTCTCAAAGGGATAGTAATCTTTCCTGTGACCCCGCAAATTATAGGAGGGGTCACACTAATGGAAATACACACTGCATTAGATTCACACATGCACAGTCTTGCTGTTTTATGGAGACCGCTGTCCATTTTCAGCACTGAAGATGGATACAGTGTGTTCCTCCTGAACTCTGTTATCTACCTGCGAGCATACAGGGCGTCGCATACCAGAACACAGAACGTTTTCCTTACCGGCGTTAGACTCTCAGATTTCGCAGACTGACTGGGTACGACAACTTGGGTTCTGGTAAAACATTCCACCTTTCGCTCGCGTTTCTTTCTCGTGGCTGTGCAGAGTGGAGTTTAGCTTTGCTCATTATCTCCTGTCATCGCAGCAAACAATCCCCGAAATACACATAAGAGGCACATCAGTCTAGACAAGGAGGTTTAAACGTAGTGGCCGCCTGTTAAAAGATTAATGCTTCATGGAACACAATTCCATATTACTAACAGAACACACTGTTCATGATTTTCCTCTGCCAGTTCAAAGCCCAAGACTTTGTAGACGCCGAAACTAGATGAAGGCAAATATTCTGTGCGAAGAAGACACCCGTTCTCGGTGGATAAGAAGGTACGAGGGCCGCAAAGCCTTTCTGGACGTGGTGGCTAAGAGAAACATTGGACTGCCTCCGCCGATTTAACAGAGTAGCGACCATGAAGATGTCGGTCTTTTTGCTCTGGTAACGTCAGAACTGGAGATGGTGGCGGTATATTTTTCCAAGTTGGTACAAGTCCGCACGGCGTTATAACCCAGAAGACCAACGCGGGCATAGCATAATAGTGGTCAGCACCATTATTTCGTATTCGGAATGTCCGGGATTCAAAGTACAGCCCGATGGCCACTTAATTTTCCTAAGCCCTTCCAGGATCATATTTTAAATAGATGATGACCTTTCGTGTGTATGACTCGCATTGACCGTCTCATTTCACGTTTTTGATCATCGGCCGTTCGGATTGTAGCCAGTCACTTTATTGACTGAACTGTGTAACTAAATGTTCGTGAAGAAGGTACAATGCAAGATTTCCACCAAAGAAGTAAGTTTGTTTTACCGTGACTCTGCAAACCAAGCGGAACAGATGCCTATATCGGGACGTTTTCACAGACATCAGTGCCATCTATCGTACCTAAACTTCACAGTTCTTGTATTGAGCTTAAAGTATCTCAACCTAAAATAAGTTTTGGTTGTAATTGTATTGTGTCAGGTATTCATTACATCGAAAAAAGTTCCAAGTTTTTCCATCTTACTGATGCAGGCATAAATTTCTACACGATGAACTCTTTTTGAGAAAACGGATAGGTTCGATTTCAGTTTTGCGTAACGTTTGACGTAAGAGGACAGGCACAAATCAAAATTAAATTATCCGCAAAAATTGGTACTGTAGACCTTAATACATAAATCAGTAGCTGTTCCATCAGTTGTGGTTATGAAATATGAGTTAGACTGACGGGACCTCACCATTGTGCCTTCATTTTACGCGCATCATACAAAGACTACGTAATAACTTATCACAGCCTAGGAATGCATACTGAGGATGAGAGAAGCTCCACTTCAGTGGCACCGCGCCATCTTGAGACCTCCATGATCAATTTGGATCGCCACTTGGAATGATTTTAACTGGAGCCTTTCCAAACCCTTGATAACCACGGATTACATTCCAGCTGACAATTCTCGCAAGTGTTGGTAACTTGAGCCTGGCCATTAAGTGCGTCCGCTTGTTTCGTGCTGAGTGGATTTCCAAGTAGGAAATGCCCTAGCAGATACAATTTGTGCCTAATATACGTAGAATAATGGAAGTATAAGATCAAAAAGTGTTTGGTGACAGTTCTTTCAGCTTTCACAAAACACGTGCTACTGACATCTTCCACGTTATGAACAAAGGAATTGTGTTAATGCGTTCAGGTTACAAGGTTTTTTTTACCGTCAAGTCCTTGTTTAACGTTTAAAATAGGAACACACACAGTAGATTCGAGAAACTACGAATGTATCTTTTCAAAATATTTCCTTTAGGATCAGTGAGCGGAAAATTATAAATTGGTTTGCTTTTTTAATGTATGTTGACGACATATACATATGTTATTCTTTTAGGCCTGCTAGTATAACTTCATGGTAGCGTTACTGTGCAAACACAAAGATCCATATCATAAGAACAAACTGCTATACTCATCCAAAAAGAGATAACGCGAACAGTTGCAAATATTCATTAACAGCTGTACGGCCACAAAAATAATTTACAGACACCCTAATGAAGTGACAGGTTTCGCGTAAACAAAAGATTTAAATGTATTTGCGCATACAATTTTTACAGAATAGGTATAAGACACGCCAACGTTTTTCAGTTCAACGTGTTGCATATTTTTTGGGCATGCTATGCCATAATTTTCGTTCTGTGTGCCGTAAAATAAAACATTTCTTCATTTAATCTTTACTTCCGTTTAGGTGTTGCACAACACGAATGAAATGAACCCTGAATAACGCCTGCCTACTTCTTGGCCATCATCAGAGTCTACAAGACTTCTTGCTTGTTGCTGTGAGAACCTCAAACGTCATCAGTTAAAATGCGGTAGTGTTGAAAGTGTCCCAGAAAAGTAACGTTCATTTGTTTCGGGTTGAATGGGGGGGAAGGGGAGGCTTGTGTTCAGATCTAACTCATGCCTTACGCTAAAATGCTGACGTGGCTGTTAATTTCTATCCATGCTCTGTGTCGCCATCACAAAATAATTTTAAACAAATATGCTTAGCTTAGGGGTAGTCATTTTAAAAACTACTGGGTAAAAATAGGACAAGTATTACATGTCTTTCGACTTACCGTGGTCGAATGCCGAACAGAAGTCTCCATCGTGTGTGATGAGTAACTGTTCCACTGTATCACGAATGTAAATAAGTTTCACTGCATTAATGATACCACTGTGACACTCACGGATGTAAGCAGCCTTTCTATTACAGTCAAATGCCGCCAGTTCCGTGCTTGAGAACAACGGTTCGTCGCGGTAACATTTCATTTTGAGATGAAATTTACGATTTTTAAATCAGATTTCCGAAATATTTTTCTAATTTCAGCTTTCGTTCAAAACATGTCCTTATTAAAGAACAAAATGGCTCGACTTTGTAATGTTTGTCTTTGATTTCATGTTTTGATATACTCTAGATTTATTAACTTAGGCTTTTTTGCGTAATTATGTAGCATCCAATCATATTATGGTCTGTGAGTTATAAATTGGAAAGGGTGTGTACTGACCCAGTATCTGCTTGAATGTACTGAGGAAAACGACGATAATCTTCAGTCCGATATTCGAACACATGAATTTGGATCTTGCCGGATGATATAAACCATTAAAACTTGCGTAAAACCTCGAGGTTTCACTGATTCGTATTTTATTTGCAGCTGTTAATTGTCACTGGCTCACCCAAAGTATATCGAGGTCAGAGTCCGGGCCCACAAACTTCGATTCGCCACGGTAAGAAAAAAATTTTCGATCCACATGAGCGCGTATGTAATTCAATAAGCGCGTTGATTAACGCCACGTTGCTATGAACAATTTATTTCTACCGGTTTAAATATACGTAGTAACAGTATTAACATAGATTTGGAATGTGTAGCGTTTATGCCGATCGGACAAAATAGATAATCAGTTGTGAGACAGAGTCACTTAATTCATTCGGTTCTGTATCACACAACCATTTCTGGAAGGCCGACTACGCAATTATGTAATTTTATATTTGTTTGAATGTCATTAGTTCTTTCTGACATAGTTTTTAATGGAGTAATTCAGACATTACGTATTTAAAACACGGTTTTTGTTCTTGTGACAAGTGTAGTAAGATGTAATGCTTTGTTATGTAAAAACAAACGTCCACATTCTTCAGTTTTGCGAAAACGTACAACGCACACCGCACATTCAAACAACACACCACGTGGAACTTCAGTGTTCTTGCAGCCTCATGTCCAATATGGCGTCTTTGGTTTCGCTTCGTGCTTCCAGCAATGCAAGACTACCCCCTACCCCGGTTTATCAGGGTGCTTTCTGTGGACCGTGTCTGGTGGCTTATTCGCTTTCAGTCCGACAAGACGTTTACAGTGACGTCATCATGTACTACCATCGAAACAGTTCAGAGGCTAAAATCAAGAAGGCGTTCGATTTGCTATTAGACCTTTATAGACATTCACCCTACGTCAGTGTCCTTGAGAGAGGTAAAAACATGTGATGTGTTTTCAAAAGGCTTTAAATATTTATTACGAAAAAGTTACACGTAAAAACTAAATTTATTTAAATAGCTACCATTTATCATCCGTCTTTATTTTAAATTCATTAGCAGAAAGCGCACAGTTGTACATCAGCTGTTTGAAGGCCGCTTGTCCTGCACTCTCGTGTGGATAAGGGAAAAGAGACCACGTAACTGTACGAACATGCCGTGACATACACATCATTCCTTTGTCATCGTGCCAATATTACAACAGAACCTCCAGAGAGAGCTTTATGTAGACAGGTCTTTTTGTAGATTAGATGTCTGGGTCTTTTAAGCCGAAAAGTTTTTGAGTCTTCGCCTTTCACTCACCCTTTAGGGCATTATCAACATATATTTTGTACACTCTTTATGTCTGTCTTGGATTAAATATTCTATCCCAGCACTTAGATCAAACACTTGCAATTCATGTAAGACAACTTCTCGCAGAATTTGAAGCTACGTTTGGCTTTGCCCAAGTGATGAATATCTTCCAATTTCCAAGCCGGTAGCAACTGAGCTATATATGAAGTAATGCACCCTTCACCTTGTTTCAGAGAAATGACACCGCGAAGGATATCGGAGTAGAAGCTGGAGTTTCTGGAAGCGAAACATCAGGAAAGGTTGGCCGAAAGTCGTCAGCCGACAGAGAGATGTGCCGCTTTGTGACGGGAATGCCACCCCAGTCACTGACAGGTCACACGGGGTACCTGACCGCCGCTACCTTGCCACCTGTCTGGACCAGAGCCACTCGCCCCACACAGGACCAGCCTCCAACATCAGTCTAATCGGATCGCCACACAACATTCGCCATTATCCTGTACTAGATTTAATTCAGAATATAGATACAGTTATTCTTTTGTATGTCTCCATGGCTTTCGTCGTTTTCATTGCTGGAAAACCACAGTAATGAGCGTCAGGAAGTAAGAGATGCAGATTACTTTATTTTCATTGTATTATTACCAATCACTAGGGGAGGATAGTTCTTTGGTGTCTGAATAAGAAATGTCGTTCGTAGCGCGAAAGGATTAAACAAACTCTTGTGGAATTCTTTGTTCCTTTTTTGCATAATCACTATTACTGTATCAAAAAATACATGTGTAAAATATGTAATCCATTTTTCCTCTGACAGTTCTTAACACTTGCGGCTGCAGTAAATAATGAACTACTGTTCATGAATTGTCTTATCTCTTCATTTGAATCGGGGATTCAAGCAAAACCGAAACGGCAAGAACTTCATCAAGCCCAATGTCTTCAGAAAGCGAAGTCGAGCTTCATGTTTCCCCCAAATACTGTCGAAATCTTTGCGATTTAAAATACATATTGTTTAGTATTCTTCGTGCTGCTCAATTAGATATTTCTAGAGCTGTCTTATTTAAATGTACGTTTCAGTACAAATAAGCTTATTTGTTATTCTTACGTGCGACATGTTGAGACGAGTGTGGTAAGAGTTCTGAAGACGGGTATTCGGCTATTCATTTATATATTCCTTTTTTAATCAGTTTATCGAATATAAAGTACTGAAACGTGTTTGTAACATTGATATAACTGTTTACTTTGTTAAGACGTTTTGTTGTTTTGTGTTAAAACATTAAGTTGTAGTGAAAAATAATTAATTTTTTAAAATAGCTTGCTCATTTCTTTTCAGCCTCGAAGTAGAAACTTTCCCATGGCGAGTTTCATTTAGAAACCAAACCCCTTTTTTTGTGTATTTGTGTGGAAACTTGCAATTTCTATTGATTAAAACTACCAATTCTTGGTTTGAATTTTCAAAAGACTTGACTGACTCTCACTTCTCCACTGTTCCTTAACGTATTTCAAGACTGCGTTGGAAGTTCAACACGAAACACACATCAACCAGACCTTATAGTTACTACGAAGTATGTAGGCACTGTCTATTTATCTGCCGTTAGCCTCATGGTGACATCAGCTGTTTAACTGAATTATTAATTAATTTTTCGCATTTTTCATGGATTTTCTGTTATTTATTTAAAAATTCATCAGTATACGCCTGCAAATACATTAAAAACAGTTGCGAATATCCGACAAGAGGTAGTCCTTTGGCTTGGGTGTTGGGCTTCTGTGAATGCGATAAAAAAAATTTCAGCATCCGTAAAAGATGGGGAACACGCTGATTAGCTGATCTACTAGTAGCTTCTCAAGTAGGATTTAACAAGGTTTTCGGATAAGCCATTTTAAATAAACCAACAACGCATGTACATAGTTGAATTCAATAAGTAAATTATTCTTCATGTTCATATTTTTACAATACAGAAAAATAAGTACACTTAATACTTAACAAACCCTTAACCATTTGTCACACCACATACAAAGAAACGTGCGACACACATTACTTCATATCATTGGGTCTATACACTGTAAATAAACATTCATCGTAGGTTGTTTAACTTAACAGAAGATATTGCCACACATCTTTACATACGCTACGTAAATTCAACAAGAGTAATAATAATAATAATAATAATTAAACAACAAGACCTGTACAATATAATAATACATTCCTTACTGAAAACATCAATGTGTGTATAACACGTATACATATAGTAATCAATAATTAAAAATTAAACATTATACTCACTCTCTGAATTCGAAGTGAGGCAGAGATTCAAACTCGCCATTTTATGGCGAGGATATAAAAATATTTAAATAGAGCTTCCAAAATACTTATCGTCTGCCCTTTTTCGAGGATAGAAAGGTATGAAGAAAGGTTACAAAGAATGAGGAAATGTTAAAAACAAATTGCACAGTACGCTTCAAGAACAAACATCTACAAAATGATAACTTTACACTAATTTGTTGTACAAATGAAGGCTATGTGACGGTGCAAAATAAAAACTATTTTCTTATAAATATTCTACCTAGAAATTACAAATGTGGTTTGTGTGGGTCTAACAGACCAGTAGCCAATATCAGACTGCCGATGCAGAATTATTGCTTCTCGTCGTAATATGTTGAGGTGATACTGACTGAACAAAAACAATGATGCGCGCAGGTGGACAAATATTGGTTTTATTACGGCCAATGATTTTTTTTCGAAAAAACACGACTTTATGTAAACCTCTGTTCCACCACTTCCGTGTACTGAAAATGACTTCTGAACTGTAACAATACATTCAAAAATGCTCGATGAAGTAGTGGCGACATGTTTAAGATTTTTCATTAATTTCACAAAATTTCGCATGTAAATATTCATCATAAACCACAATTATTAATCTCACTAGATTGATTCGGATTTAAGATTCAACTCATAATTGGTCCTTCCATCGTTTATATGGTCTACCCAACCTCTCCTACCTTTTCGTGTAAAATCTTTTAGCATCTTTTTCATCCATTAGCTATATTTAAATCCTACGAAACCAGTTCGATTAACCCTTTAAACCTGAAGCTTCTCTAAATAATATTTAAGAATTAACCCGTACCGCAAAGAAACACAACACTTCACCGTTTAAGAGATCAGTTTTAACACTGTCCAGGGAAACAATCCATGTTTACAGTGTCAATCATATGAAACACATAAAAGCGCAAAGTTGTTAATTATTAAAACAGGTGGGATATACAGTTACCACTAACTGTTTTATGGGATGTTAAATATGTATTCTTCTTCTTGTCTGATTGTTTGGTATACTCATAAAATGATTGCCTTTAATTTATTCTTTAAGGGGATATCCGAGCTGTATCAAGGATAGGATTTACACTGTTCGATTTCTGAGGTCACAAATCCACGGGCATATGTCTGAGTGTATCAATGTCCAGTCACCGAATCTCAATCCACTGAGTCTTATTTTAATTTGTTTTAATACAAGCGACATTTAATGTTCTTGTGTTAAGAAAGTGTTCACGTTTAATTAGTACCTTTTCTCAGAACGTAGAGTTATTTTTGAACAGTCATAATTGCAAATAATGGTTTACGAGTTGACCCCAGAAAAGACACCACAATAGCCAAATTCCGACGAACGTGCCAGAATTGTTGCAATTTTGCTCTTAACATTTTTCTGTCTGGTAAAATTTCGTGACTTACGCTTGAGATCTACGCAGCTTCTCTGTCCGATTTTAAATAGAATTCTGACATATTTTATCAAAACTCATCAATATATAGTTCCATGAAAGTCCGTTCTCGAGTTGTTATATCAGACAGATGAAAGGACCGTCACATTTACCGAGAATAATCCGTGTTCTACATATTTGTAGACGGAACCACACAGTAATATCCCTGAGGCTACTCAACTAGGTACCCACGCCAAGCAGAGAAGATGTACTCATTTCAATAAACGTGTCATATTTATGTACGACGTGAACGTCACGGTTCGTGACTGCATCGGTGCCCGCATTCACCAGCAACGTCACACAACCCTCAAGTGTTCGTTCGTAAGGACGGTAACGAAAAAACACGACTTTATGTAAACCTCTGTTCCACCACTTCCGTGTACTGAAAATGACTTCTGAACTGTAACAATACATTCAAAAATGCTCGATGAAGTAGTGGCGACATGTTTAAGATTTTTCATTAATTTCACAAAATTTCGCATGTAAATATTCATCATAAACCACAATTATTAATCTCACTAGATTGATTCGGATTTAAGATTCAACTCATAATTGGTCCTTCCATCGTTTATATGGTCTACCCAACCTCTCCTACCTTTTCGTGTAAAATCTTTTAGCATCTTTTTCATCCATTAGCTATATTTAAATCCTACGAAACCAGTTCGATTAACCCTTTAAACCTGAAGCTTCTCTAAATAATATTTAAGAATTAACCCGTACCGCAAAGAAACACAACACTTCACCGTTTAAGAGATCAGTTTTAACACTGTCCAGGGAAACAATCCATGTTTACAGTGTCAATCATATGAAACACATAAAAGCGCAAAGTTGTTAATTATTAAAACAGGTGGGATATACAGTTACCACTAACTGTTTTATGGGATGTTAAATATGTATTCTTCTTCTTGTCTGATTGTTTGGTATACTCATAAAATGATTGCCTTTAATTTATTCTTTAAGGGGATATCCGAGCTGTATCAAGGATAGGATTTACACTGTTCGATTTCTGAGGTCACAAATCCACGGGCATATGTCTGAGTGTATCAATGTCCAGTCACCGAATCTCAATCCACTGAGTCTTATTTTAATTTGTTTTAATACAAGCGACATTTAATGTTCTTGTGTTAAGAAAGTGTTCACGTTTAATTAGTACCTTTTCTCAGAACGTAGAGTTATTTTTGAACAGTCATAATTGCAAATAATGGTTTACGAGTTGACCCCAGAAAAGACACCACAATAGCCAAATTCCGACGAACGTGCCAGAATTGTTGCAATTTTGCTCTTAACATTTTTCTGTCTGGTAAAATTTCGTGACTTACGCTTGAGATCTACGCAGCTTCTCTGTCCGATTTTAAATAGAATTCTGACATATTTTATCAAAACTCATCAATATATAGTTCCATGAAAGTCCGTTCTCGAGTTGTTATATCAGACAGATGAAAGGACCGTCACATTTACCGAGAATAATCCGTGTTCTACATATTTGTAGACGGAACCACACAGTAATATCCCTGAGGCTACTCAACTAGGTACCCACGCCAAGCAGAGAAGATGTACTCATTTCAATAAACGTGTCATATTTATGTACGACGTGAACGTCACGGTTCGTGACTGCATCGGTGCCCGCATTCACCAGCAACGTCACACAACCCTCAAGTGTTCGTTCGTAAGGACGGTCTTGAAAGGCTGAGAAAATGACCCGGCCGACTTATCACACGGTCAGAGTGTATACATTCCACTTTGAAATTGCATGATGCTTGACATGCTACTTCTATATGAATTAAACGCTTTCTTTAACCCTCTTCGTGCAGAGGCATTCCGCAGAAAGTCGTTCTTTCTCTATACATGCTTATAAATTACGTTTGCGGGATATTGTAAAGGGTTATCTTGAAGAGTCAAGGCAGGCAATACCAGACACCAAAGATAAACTGTAAGGATGGACCGGTTTCAAAGCGATATATCTCGTCAGTGACACGCAAGGTGCTAAAATATCGATACTCTGGAATTCTATTGCATATGGTATTTCTGTTTTTCAACATCATGACACGTTAGACATGTATGCATTCCTATTTTAATCCCTCAAGTCATATGAAGTAATGAAACTTCTGTCGTATGACGGAAACTATAAAATGTACCCTGAGCCTAAACAAGACATATTAATGACGTATATTAGATATGGAGGTCTAACTTCATACATTCTAAGTCAGGGCACTAGAAGATAAGCAGTCAGCCTCATGTTAAGGCCGTGACACACCCCCTCTCCCCCGACCAATTACAATAAAGTATTCAATATCCTCCATATTTATCAAATATTAACTGAAGTCAATAGAATCAGTCAGGATACGACCCACAAGTCTCCCAAAATACGAATTTGCGGACACTGTTCCACCACAGCGAAACACACTGATAGCAACCCTTATTTTTGCTAGGATTGTACATGAATTCTCGGAGACAGGTAAATCACGAATCCAGACGCAACAAAGGATTTCCTGCGATGTACAAACTGCAGCAGCTACAAGAACGCATCTAGGATGAACAATACCAACATATATAATCATAAAATCACATGACATGGAATCTCCACAGTAGCTGCATGGCAGAGCTACTCTGGTGGCCGCTAACAGTGAGGCGCTCGCCAGCATGGGGTCCATAGTTCGATTCCTGTAACTAACGTATTACAGTTGACCGCTTAGAAACGTTTACAAGAGACTTGTCATCGAAATACCATACTCAGTTTTTATTTATTTCTGAAACTTAGATTTAAAATATATCGGAAGATATATTTCTACATTTCGTTCTGTTCATAAACCTTTTTGAAAACTTACGAGTCGCTTTGTAAGTCTGCAGTCAGTAAAACGTTGTAGGAACGTGTTTAAGCTTTAAGATTGTTCACTCTCCTTGGGAAAGGTCAAGAGTCCTAAATACCACATTTGGTGCAAAAAGTTAATACACAAAAGACCAGCACTGCACTTCTAAATCGAATCTTGCTACAAGAAAGGAGGATATGTACAACATATGGACCGTGAAATGAAGAATTACTGTTCAATTACCATCTAAATACACTTTAAACTATGGTCTATTCAGTAATTAACAACGTTGGGACACTGACAAAGGATTCCTGGAATCAAATGTCCAGCAACCAAACAGGGCTTAACCACCACGGAATGAAGTAGGGTCTCCGTCAGAAAATATATGCAATATTCAGAGTCCAGCATGGTATGTGATAAAGTCTGTTCAATATTTAGAGCCCGTATCGTCATGTAATACAGTCTGTGCAATACTCAGAATAAGACCAAAACCTCATGTGAAATATTTAGAACCCAAATTTCCATTTGACGAATATTAACGAACTCACTAGTACTCTACTAAATCCTGAAGGTTCAACGCTGTTAACACCAATTTCTGCCATGTGACACGATCCTAAGCCAGTTCGTCATTGCTGATCTTCTGGGTCGTCAGGCTGTGTGGACCTGTAAGTAGATATCGACTTTTCGGAAGAACATATTGCCTCCATCCCTCAGGGCCGAAGTCCTAAAAATGAATGCATCACAGTGCTGATTCTAAGTCTATTTACAAGTTTACACAGAATTACCAAGTAGACGGTTATGAATTTCCCCACAAACGAAACAGTTGCCTCGTCTTCAAGTGGCTGGTAATAGACACCGAATCTGACACCATCTGGTTGCTTCAATACCTAACATGGACATGAAATTTCACAATGTTCTAACCTAGATGCATATCAAACCATTAGTATAAATCAGTAAGTGATTACGAATCAAGGACCCTGGGAGCTATAAGACATGGAAAATCTAAAGGCTCAAGGTTCCCTTTCCCATGATTCAATGTGACGGGATGCAGCGATGATTCAATAAAGCCATTGTTAGGACACGTTTTATATACACAAAATTGACTATAAATTAAAACCTGTCAAAGAGGAATCCGTGTAGTTCATAAACATCAAGGCAGAATATAAATCTGTCTACATCTGGACGTCTTCATTCGAGGATTCTACAGTATATCTACTGTTGCCATTTATGTATGCTTCTAGTGAAATATACCAGTGCGAAGCTTAATACATTAATCTGTTTTGGATGTTATATGAACTCAGTGGGAAGGGCAGCGTTGACCTTAATGGGATTTTAAAAGAAGTAATTATGAAAACAATGCCTGATATTAAATTCATTGGTTAAAACAACAAAACATGTTGAAGCTAGCAATAAATGCTTTACGGTAATAACATCCGCCAGTTATAGAGAGGAACCAGAAGTTTTCAAGGTCACAAAACCTGCACTTAATAGGTCGATATTTTCAATTCTGGAGGTCCATGGTTTCAAATCCTGGCCCAGAGACCATCTTCCTTAGATTTTTCGTCAATTCGTTAGTCCCTCTAGGCACATTCTGAGAAAGAAAAAATATTAAATTTGGCCACGACCGCTTCTTTTCACAGCCTTTCCAATTCATGTCATAATGCCATCTATGAAACTATCCGTTCAGTGAATTTCGTCGAGTCAAGGAAGAGATCTGACACTGCGTCTCCTGTAGGCTACGGTCCTTGGGCGCTGGATCTGTTTTGCCTTATTTTAGAGCAGGCAATAAGTTTCCAAATATAGCCGATGCCTCGTGCCTCACACAATGTGCTTGGTCATGCATCAGCGCAAGACGTGTCTGATTCAGCACTCAGCATGTGTGAACAGACGTGTACCGTTACGCTCCACGTAGCTGTGTTTCACTCATGCATACACAAGTGAACCAAGTCACAGACTTCATTTAAACAACATTAGAATTTGTACAGACTCCGCACAGTTTAATAAGCGACAACTCCCAAGTTATCAACACTTTCTTGTATTGTTTTTCATTTTTGTGAAACGCTGACCCACGCGTGAAGCGTCCTGACGCATGACAGATAGCTCTTGCTTCGTTTTTTTTTCTTCTGTCCTTAGCTTTCGGATACTCTTACGAGTTACTAACGGAGTCACAGAACGATATTCCAAATTTTATCAATAGATAAAGACAGATTAGTTACTCACTAATGTATTCTGAGTCAAAATTTTAATTAATTTTAAAGTAATTACAATCTACATTGAATGTAAACAAAGAAAACGTGTCGCAAACTGAAGTCTGAAATCTCATTGGCCTAAAACACATTTCTGTCTGGCAACAGTTATATTTTACTCGTGCCTAAGTTGTAATAATAATTTATAACAATCCCTTGATAATCAGTATACACGATACATCATTACAAAATAAACAAAGGAGAAGGTGGGATACTACCCAGGAAGCGACTTTATAAAATCTTGTTTCAAACGGAAGGGCCGAAGCTGAATGTGGAAATCTATGCTGGTCTTCTAGGTTGTAACGCCGAGTTGAATTGGACGTTTCAGAAGAACATATTGAATCCATTTTAAAAGCTGAATTGTGTTTGTTGGGAGGTTGGAAATATATACTAAGGAGATGGACAAGGCAAAGGTGAGAAGTAACTAGGGCAAAGGTGCGAAAAGAAAATGGTCCCTGACGATGGGTAGGCACCCGAGAAAAGGGCTGGACTGAGAGAATATACTGGTCCGTTAAGGGATCAAGAGAGACGGAGAAATCAAACGAAAGTCTAACAGTTCTGAGGTCAAAGTAGGATTCAAAGCTGGTACTCTGAAGAACCAAATGTGGGTGGAAGCCCACAGACCGTTGCAAACCAGAATAACGCATCATCAAATCTCCTGAGAATGTGGAAGATCCGAACAGCATAACGAAAATAACATCTGCATTGCCAATAAACCATCAGCGCATTGTGTATGAAAAGAGGTGTCAGTCTGTGAATAATTAATTCTCGCCCCCCTTAAACTCAATGCAGCTACTGTACGACGCACTGCATGTACGTAATTGTTCTGTGTAATCAAGATCCTTCCTTGCCTCGCAATTGGCATGCTTATCAGTTTAATAGTTCCGTTAGCGAAGCTTCGAGCAGAACGCAATTTGACTTTTCAGTGTTGAAGCTGCGATGAAGAAGAGATGTAAATTTTCGTTATACTCGTTATCCAGTCCAGCTGCGTTGGAACTACTGGTGCCTCTAACAGTCGGCTTGGGGGCTGGGCGTGGTGTTCAGAAATCATAAGCGAACACAGACAACCGGAGTCTGCAAGCGTCTCTTTTGTGTCTGTCGACAATACCGCTTCGATTATGAGTGACATGACATTCGAATTTAATTACAGTGTCATACCTGTGACGTGAAGCGAAATCTTTCTTAGTCTGAAACGCAAATGCCCACGTGCACTTTCCTTCCTAGGCATAAACTAAAATTCTATAACGCAAGAGATTAAAACTTCCGATTTAAATTAAATTTACTGTTCATTAAGAAAATTTAATTACAAACAAGACAGGCAGCATTAAAATGACACTTTTCGTTGACTCAAGACGTCTCTCAGCTGTACAGATAAATGGAGCAGACGACAGTAAAATGGCAAGGAGATACGAGGACGTTAGATCACGCTTTCGACGGCACAAATTTTATAAGCTATGATAATTTATTAATGTTTTTTTCTAAACTAATTAGTTTCATGCAAACAGTGTATTAAATATAATATGTGTATTTTCACTCACCCCCATGGGAAATGAATTCTTACAGTTTAACTCTTAGCGAGATACAAATAAAATGTATTTACGTCTTTAAAAAGGGCATTAAAATTGTTCAACTGTTCAACGTGAACCAGCCGTGCACATTGCAATACTATTATAAATCCATTAATTTACTGAACACGATGCTTTTACGTTTTTATTCAAATTGTTTAAGCACGAAATCTTATTCTACAGAACATGCGTGTGTATGTT